CCCTCGATCTTCCCTGCATCTCTGGGAGAAAAAGGCCCTTAAGCCCTTTTGTYGCAGCTCCTTCAAATCAGAAATTCATTTTGGCCTGTGCCTGTCTGTCAGCGAGCTCAGGGATGATGGTTTTTCTGGGGTTGAAGTTRCACATAAATACCTGCCATTCAAACTAGAGGCGATTTAACTTTTGTTTGAATTGCAAACAAAGAACTGGTTTYTGACATCAGAAACAAAGTGTTCTGCTCACATTTTCCTATCTGGGTTGCCCTGTTTTGTTCTCTTAAGCCTCCTGTTTGTGTCTGCATGACTTATGGTTGGTGTCTCACTTAAACACACACAAAACCACTAATCTGTTTCCGCCATGTCACACACGCACTTGTGTTTTGGTGCAAAAGAACAAAACGATACAACTGCTTTACAAATATGCATTGCTGTGAAACTGCGGAGTCATGACTGGTGCATTGTGTTTATGAAGCTGAAACTGAATTGATGAAACTAAAATGAGCCGAAAACAAGCTAAGATCAGAACACAAGCTCAAAAGAGCTGAATGCAAGCTAAAACAAATTAAATATAAGTTAAAAAAATCAGAATTCAAGCTAAAGCAAGTAGAACACAAGCTTAAATGAGCAGAACGCAAGCTAAAATAAACAGAACACAAGCTAAAAAATTAGCAGAACGAGCTAAAAAGAGCAGAACGCAAGCTAAAAGTACAGAGCACAAGCTAAAACAAGTAGAAAACAAGCTTATATGAGCCGAACACAAGCTAAAATAAACAGAACACAAGCTAAAAAATTAGCAGAATGAGCTAAAAAGAGCAGAACGCAAGATAAAAGTACAGAGCACAAGCTAAAACAAGTAGAAAACAAGCTTATATGAGCAGAACACAAGTTAAGAAAAGCAAAACAAGCTAAAAAGAGCAGAACGCAAGCTAAAATAAACAGAATGAATGCAAGCTAAAATAAGCAGAACAAGCTAAAAAGAACAGAACACAAGCTAAAAGTACAGAGCACAAGCTAAAACAAGTAGGAAACAAGCTTATATGAGCAGAACACAAGCTAAAATAAACAGAATGCAAGCTAAAATAAGCAGAACAAGCTAAAAAAGAGCAGAAAGCAAGCTAACACAAGCTAAAAAAGAGCAGAACAAGCTAAAAAGAGCAGAACGCAAGCTAAAAGTACAGAGCACAAGCTAAAAAAGAGCAAAACACAAGCTAAAAGTACAGAGCACAAGCTAAAACAAGTAGAAAACAAGCTTATATGAGCAGAACACAAGCTAAAATAAACAGAATGCAAGCTAAAATTAGCAGAACAAGCTAAAAAGAGCAGAAAGCAAGCTAACACAAGCTAAAAAAAGAGCAGAACAAGCTGAAAAGAGCAGAACACAAGCTAAAATAAGCAGAACAAGCTAAAAAGAGCAGAATGCAAGCTAAAGTAAGAAGAACACAAGCTAAAAAAGCAGAATGCAAGCTAAAGTAAGAAGAACACAAGCTAAAAAAGCAGAATGCAAGCTAAAGTAAGAAGAACACAAGCTAAAAAAGAGCAGAACAAGCTAAAATAAGCAGAACATGCTAAAAAGAGAAGAACTCAAGCTAAAAGGAGCATAATTGTAGCTAAAAGCTAAAACAAGCTGAACAGGATGTAAAAGTTTAAATGATTAAAACTAGCTAAAACCTAACTTTTGCTTATATTTAGAAAAAGATAAATGTAGTGAAATAATAGCTAAACATAAAAAATTGATAAACCATAGCTGAAAACTAAAGCTCAAGTTAGCATAAGAAGACAAAAAGGAAATCTGCTGAAGCAAAAATGAAAGAA